GGCCCGTGTTCATCTTGGAATCAATAATGACTCCAAGATCCCCAGCCGGTGCTCGCAAGGGGGTACCAGTGCTCCTGCCTGCCCCCCCCCCCTTCCGGTTGCCTGAGTGGGGAGCGCAGCCTGACAAGGTGTGCACCGGCACTCTCAGGGGGTGCACATGCACCCCCATACACTTCCTACATGTCGCCACTGTCTTGGTTGGTCTTGACTTCACACCCTTAGCTTATTTATTCATTCCAATCTGTGAAGAGAGTAAAAGTGGATCTACCTTGCAGCACAAACAATAAACCACTTCCAGCAAATCCCAGGATTCTGGCTAGCACTAAAGCCAAGCACCAATTCATCAATGTATTTCTAGTACACCCAGTACTGAGGTATCAGTGTTACCTGATGCAGGAAGAGCTGGTTTCTCATTCTGATTGTCTGGTCTAGAGAGGTCTATTTCTTCTCTTTCAGTTTCTCCTTTGCTTTTGCCTCCTGGATCTAAATCCCTGAAGAACTGAATGACAGAGGAATGCTGATGCTTGCCCTTTCCCACAGAGGATTTTATCCTTTGGATCTGGGTCATAAACAAGTGAAATGGGGATCTCTTCAGGAGGTCTTCTTCATACCCATTCTGAGGATCCTGTGAAGTTTCTTTCATGAGGTTGGGAAACACAGACAGAATTACTTTATCCCCACCACATCAAATTAATAAATACAATCAGAAATTGCTTAGCTAATTTCCAACCATTTTCTATATGTCAGGATCAATGCTGCAGTACTCACTGGAACAAATTCTGATATCAGCAATATCCCTCCCCACTCCAAAGAGAGATGCAGGTGCTTAATTCTGGCAATGCTCAGTGTTTTGCCCTGTTGGACCAAATGACACTGACTCCCAGCCGGGGAGGTGACACATTAGGCTGCTCCACTGGTAACCTACATAACCCTTTTGCTGAATCCAGTTAAGGGGGGCCTAGCTGGAGGGAAGAAGCAGGCTAAGACATCTCTGTTCCCTGGAGTTCTTAGGGAAAGGAGGAACCACAGTATTCTCTAATTTGTGTCCTGGACTGGCTCAGCACTCAGGGAACAAAGAGCATGCCTGTGCTAGAGAGCACAAGGATGCTCCTTCCCAAGCTGTCATCCACTCCTCAGACACAGTGAATTCAGTACGTGCAGACAAGTTCCCATTCACCTCAGCCAGGCTGCAATCATATGGAAAACAAACTAGATCTCACAGCTCTAAACAACAGTAATAAGCTGATATTTGGGGAAATTAGCCCTATAGCAACGCTCTTAATAGTGCAATGATACATAGCTAAATCTCCAAGGCTTAGGACAGAAGCTACACATGAACTGATATAAGTGATCAGAAACTGGCTCAAGTCTGCAACACAACAGAAGTTCAGTGCACAAAGACCGCTTTCAACATGGCCAAAAACAGATTAAGATGAACCTGAATGGATGTAGTATCAGATTTAACTGATTTAGGTTAACTTGGTTTATTCAACTTCTATCCCAGATCCCCTCCAGCTTCAAGTTAACTCACAGTCCCCCAGCATCCCAGAATGCTTTGCACCTCCCTCTGAAACCCCACCCTTGCAGAATAGGTGGACTAACTGTGGCTATCTGCTCCAGCCAAGCAGTCATGCTCTAGAGCCCTCTGGCTTCTGGCCTGAGCCACTGCAGGCATGTGGCTGCATTTCTGGAATCAAAAATGAATGTCTCTTCATTTGCTTATTGGTTCAATCTACAGAGATCAGACTAACCTGCAAAGATTGAATTGATTTAGCCTCAGGCTTTTTGACTTTCTATACTTAGCCCAGATAATAAGTCTCAGATAAACTTTTGGCCATAATCAGGGACTAAAACCCCTCATTGCCTTGCAATGAGCTGAATCTCAGTTGTAGAACCCAGGGCACATACAGATGTCCCAAGCTTCTTCAGGGCTCTATGAGGATAAAGGAAAGGAGCCATTGTCTGTAATTATGAACAGGAGCATAGTAACATTTGTTTAGTCAGCAAATTAATGTCTGAGAAATACCACATACTCTATTTATATTACTGGGGTCCAGGTAGGAGAAAGAGGTTCCCAAGCCTGCCTGTCATCCTGAAACGGCTAAAGGGTTCTGCTAACAGAATCAGCAGGGAAGCTGTCAGGGGTGTATTACCAAGAAGTACCCACAAAGCTTCACTCTCCTCCTATAATGATCCCAGGGTGCTGGGATGCAAGTGGTACAGAGCAAACGGTGGAGAACAGGAGTGGGGGAACTGGTTCATTTGTTTTCTCACGTATACAAAAGAACTTCCTCATAACCAAAGTGCTGCATAGCATAGGTTCTCCACTCTAAGGAACTGTGGGCACAATCCTTTGAGATTCCTTGGGACCACCCTGGTACCTTGCCCTTGGTATGGGCCTGCCTACCACCTAGTGTAGCCAGGCCTCAGCATTCAAGCCTCATGCATCTCTGATACCCCAGTATACCCAAGCTCAGTGATTCTCAATCTTTTTGGACTCAAGGCACACCTCACGGACTCGAGGCACCCTCCGTAACTTTTGTGAATTGAATGGCACCCATTTTCAAAAACTAGTTTATATATTACAGTGCTTGCCTCCTCGCACAGAGGGTGAGAAATAAGCCAGGCAAGGACAAGCCTAAACCTGTGTTCTTCTGCTTATATCCTCATACCTCCCACCACCCTTCAAAGGATTTTGTGGCACCCTCGGCTGCCACAGCACCCTGGTTGAGAATCACTGCATTAGCTATTCTATGGGCAATTGCCATGTCTTATACTTTAATAAGTTATTACAATGGAAGTCTTTAGGACCCCAAGAGATAGAGTGGGGAATGGATGTAGTATCGGATTTAACTGATTTAGGTTAAACACAAGATTCCAGTGACTGTCTGTAAACAGTTAGTCATCCTGGTGCTTTATGATTGGGTAAGATGATCCTAGCGAAGTCTATGGAAAAGTTCTTTCTGTATTTAGATAAGGTAGAAAAGCCTGTCCAGTTGATTTTACCAGTTAATTTCAGCTTTGATATAAGCTGTGCTTCTCTCAAAAGAAAAATAAAATGCCAAAATAACACCATAAATAAGGAGCTTCTCAAGTTTAGATTTCATATCATTTGACAGCAATTAATCTAAAGAAAAATGTTAGAGGCTGTTGGCAAACATGATTTTTATACACATGAAATATTTTTGATGCCATGTCCTTCTGTTGTATTGGGAAGTGACACAACAACCTAAGAGGTGAGAAAGGAACCCTTGTAAATAAAAATTACTAATTGATTACAAAGTTTTGGTCCAGTTTTTAATAATCTCTTAATAATTATGTCTCTCAAAAACAGCATGCAAGAACGATATAAAACTTACCTGACTTTAGACACACACACATTCATGCAAACACAAAATTTAAAGAAATTGTGTTATACTTGCAACCTTTCATGCACTGTAAGATTTTGTTATAAACACGGTAACATACCTGACCTTTCCATTTTTGGAATAATGGCTCAGTCACAACTTTTAAAACATTTTTCATGACTTGGTAAAACAACCCAAGTGTTCTGGAAGTGAAGTTCTCTCTTCTTTCAGCACCAGATTTTTCCCATTTTTTTTCCTTTTCACAGAGTTTGAAATCAGCTGCTCAGAAGGAATGATTGATTCAATGTAGTGTGCTGGGCTGCTCCTTCTACTGATCTGCCTTCATAATTGAATCAGGTCCCAGGAGATGTGTATAACACTCTTCTTTTTTGTTTACCAGGCTTTTAAATATGTTATTAGGTCTGATTTGGAATTATCCATTTTGATCTAGATTTCTTTTTTGGAATAATAATAAGAAAAAAATCAGGAAGTCATGCTCTGCCTTCTGCCTGCTACAGGTCGCTAGCAGCAGTTGTTGTGAGAAGGGCTGAGTCAGTTCATAGATCAAGTTACAAGGCTACCTAAAAAAAAAGCTCTTTGTTCACTCAGCCTCTTCTCCCAGTTCCGCACACATCAGAAATCCTGCTGAGCAGGATAGGCCATTAAAATAATTGTCATTCTTCAGTAGGGAATGTTTTCATGAGAGAGATTATAGGAAACTAGCACTCTTTTTTCATTTTAGGGACAGAAGAAGGTAAGATATTGGATCCATCCACTGCACCATATAATTCCATTTATACCATAAATGCATCTTGCTCCATGATAACACTAGACAGGTTTTTTCCATCATTACTCCTGCTGGGAGGTTATTCCAGAACCTCACTCCTCAGACTGTTAAAAACCTTCTTCTAATTTCTGACCTAAACTTATGGTCAGTTCATGTTCATTTTTGTGCCAACATTGAACTTGACCTTAAATAGCTCTTTCCCAACCCTGCTGCTTACCCCGATGTAGTTAGAGAGGGCAGTCATATTCCCTTTTTGACTTTGTTTCTCTAGGCTAGACAAGCCAAGCTCTTTCCGTCTCCTCTAATAAGACAGACTCTATTCCCCAGAACATCCTAGCAGCTTTCCTCTGTGCCGATTCCAGTCCGTATTCATTTTGAACAGAAGTGACCAGAACTGTACGCTGTAGTCGAGGTAAGGTACCTGAGTTCTGTTTTGCCTGCGTTAGGTTTGCTGAACCTCCATATTTAACTGTGAAACAATATAACATTACTCCATAGTAATCTAAAGATGTAGACACACTACCTTATTCATTACTTGTAGGCAATGATAGTCACAGATGGGCTAAGGACTGTATGGTTCATGGAGACTGGACTACTGTCATCTAGAGATATAATTCCTCCAGGGCAAGGGGGAGGCTTACTGATAGGTGGATATTTGGAAGTTTACTTTGCTACTACATGTATTAACTACTGGTATATATTATGAGAGTAAACAGAATATCTTCACTTCGGGACCATGAAGATGCCATATTATGTGACCATTAAACCCATTTACACAATATATCGTAGTAGGTAGAAATTAAGAAACTTGAGTTGCTGGATACCATAATCACAACAAGAGATCCACTGATAATAAACCATACATTCACCAGAATCCCCCTAGCCCAACAGAGATACTGGCAAACTGGAGACCATTTAGTAAAGAACAATTAAATTGATCAGTGTTACTGGAAGGATGCATTTAAAAGCAGTTGAATAGTTAAGGTAAAAGACAGGGAAATGAGCAAAAATAATCCTAGTCTGTAAATATTTTAAAGGTTTAAACAACAAGGAATTATCTTAGGTGATATTTGGGGATATATCTAAGAGCAAACAAGTTAAGATTAAGACAGTAAAAACTTGGGAATGAGTATCAGGCTAATCTTCCTGACAGTGAGCAGTATTAGGCTGTGAGACTGTCTCAATGAAAACGGTAGCAGCCCAGTAACATGGGATGTTTGCATTAGAGTGTAGAAAAGCCTAGAAAATGTGCTGCGATAAATAATTCTTCCCAGGCACAGAGGTGGATGGCATGGTCTAATACAATGGTTATCAACCCTTTTAGACTCAAGGCATCCCTCAGAAAATGGCAGTTCTTCGCTTTCACTCATCTCTTGACTAGGGAAAAATAATGAAGCAATTCTTCTGTTGCAGAGAACTCAGAAAGGCCACGATAGACCAAACTGCTTTTGACACTATGGATGCCTATTTGAAATCTCTGGGGTTATCTTGTGAATTATGCATACATGTTTGCACACACAGCAGTGCTAATATTGCATGTCACCCTTAGAAAGTTCTCATGGCACCCCAGGGTGTATGGCATCCTGGTTAAGAATCAGTGATCTAATAGGTCTTTTCTATTTCCAGCCACTACAAGGCATGAAGTAAGCCTTTATTGACCTTTACCATTCTTTAGCATTATCCAGCACCAGAAATTATAGTGCTGCCATGACCTCAGAGTCCAATGTTTTTTCCTGGCTATTGGTCCTATCCTTTGAGGTAGGATCCATTTCTTGCCTGTCAGTGCTCTTGCTTTTCCTGTTTTCTGCATGGCCACCCAACATTTGGGGTGAAACATGAAAAAGAAGTTTCCTCTTTTCTTGCAAAAGTGGCTCAGTTGCTGTTAGTGTGGGATCTGGACGCTCCCACTGCTCCATCAATGAATGGGAATGGGATCTGTGCTCAGCTGGGCCTTGTAGAACTGGGGAATTCCTTAAGCACTTTAAGCGCTGATTAAAGCTCTTCAGGTTAGAGCTGGCAGTAATGCCTTGACACTAACACTTTAGGGGCTGCATTGCCCATTGAGAATTTTTTTCACTGCTTGAGGCTATTCATTGATTAGGAAGGGAAGCTAGTGCTGCTGTGACAGCAGTTTATAATCTCACAGGGAGGAAAATGTGATTTGGCAGTAACCTGGTTTCCTCTGCCCTTAATAAATCTCGGTCTTTACCTACAGGAAGAAGAGGCAGCAGGGTGATCCTTATGCAGCTCAGGATGGTGGATGCAATGCAATGGCAAATACACTGACAGTTCTTTGGAGTGGTGCTGTTTGTGCCCTGAAATAACATTCTGCAGTCCACAACATTTGGAGCTGCCCATCTGCCATCTGAGTAGTGGCTCTGCTATTGCTTGAGAAAGGAGAAACTTTGCATGTCTTCTTTTTGCAGTAGGTTGTCCATGTTGCCCAGGGCAGTGCTGGTCTTCATAGCCAAATAATAACACTTGGGAGATAATTGTGACCACATCACTGTTCGAATACCCATGTGAATACACATTTGAATCTGTCCTTCCTCCAGTTTGATAACTGGAGTGAAGGAAGGGACAGAACTGGTTCTGGAACAAAATAGTTAAAGCTGCTTCCTACGCAGTGTCCACTGTTGAGAGATTAATGTGGGTTTTTGTATTTTGCCTCACTGTGACTCTATAATCAGTCATATATTCCACAGGAATAATACCATTAGAGGATTAGTGCCACAAGTTTATTTGAAAAAAAGGATTTGCAAACATTAAAATCCTATATTCTATGTACTTAATCACTCAGTATCATTTTGGGGATTTCCTCTTCAGTTTAGTGGTGTATCCTCTAATGAAACCCAGTTAATGCAGCAGTCTTCTGTTAACTTTTTTCATGGGTCTACATATATAAAATACAGCTAGCTAAAATAATACAGAACCTAGAGTGGACCAAATCGATCCAGTGCATTTATTTTAATGGAGTTACTCAAGGGATGTTTTTCAGTCCAAAGTCCATGCAAAATGTATATATTTAATAACCAAGTATTTTTTTAAAATAGTTATTCTGAATACAGAGTGGACTATTTAATAACACAATCTTTCCTTCTTTTCTACTGTGGGCCCCCTAGGTAGAGGTCCTCTCCTGTGGCTTAGAGTCATAGAATCAGAAAGATATTCAAGAGCCTTCTGGTCCAACTACATTCTGGTATCCATTACAGTCAATAGTAAAGCTCACACTAATGTCACCAGTGCAAGATCAGAAATGGTTGCCTTTTCTTACTCATCACCCTCCTCCTCCCCACCCCAGAATGGCCTTATACCTTGTTTGCCACAATTTTAAGCCTTGGTTACATTAATGATATGATAGGACACCATTAAGGAGACTGGAAGAAGATAAACTTCCACTGATATGATTGCTTGTTTTTCCCTTCCATTAATTTGTATCTCTGCTGTTTTACTTCCCTTCCATGTATGATTCTTATGTGATTGAGGTCTCCTTTGCTTTGATCTCTTTAGGTCCTTCTTTTGGTTTGGTTCAAGTCTGTGGACATGTCTGTATGTGCCTCTTTTAAGTGGGATTAGCCTAAAATTGTCATTTGTAAGGTGCATTAAGGGTGAGTGTCTACATGTGTGCGCCCTTAATGTGCCTTAAAAGTGGTGATTTAAGGCTACATGAACCTAATTTGATACCTGCATAAAGCAGGTATCAAATTTAGGAGCAAATAGCTAGGTGACATTAGCTCGTGTGTAGATAGGCTCATGCACATTAACGTGGTGTGCGTCAATGGATACCCACCATGTTAATGTGCATTAGCGCATCTACATGTGCGTTAATGCAACTTAGCTATTCACACTTATGTGCCTTCATGCACATTAGCACATACATGTGTAGGCGCGCACCCAAATTGCCTTAATACGCCTTAAGTAAAGATGCATTAAGTTTAGATATGTGTAAATACACATGCAGACAGGCCCTGTGTTTCCTACCCCTTTGTCACGTAGTAATCTGATGCTGATTATTACATATACAAAGGAAACTCCTGGCAAAGAATGATGCATAGCTGCTGTGCAGAGTTGGTAAAGAAACACTGGAAAATAATTCTGGACTGGGTGGCATTCAAATCAGCAGGAAGTGCTGACTTGAAACTGGACAGATGCAAACAGTTCCACTGACTGTGTGGAAATACTCTGTGAACCACATTTTGCAAAGCAACAGATTTTGTTACTATAATGTCCATTAGTACAGTGCCCCTTGAATAACTATCCATTACAATTACTAGGAAACATATCTAGTTAACAGCTCTCCAAATCAAATTAATGTCTGGTGTATTGCCACTGATTTCAAATGTGCATTCATGAGGATTGAAGTTTAATTATGAAACAATATTTGATCTTCAGCTATTTCTAACAGGCAATCCGTTACCAGTGGTTCTCTAGGCACCTGTTTAAAGCAGGTTTCACTGTCTTAAAATGAACTCCTTATTCTAATATTCATCCAAAAATTGATAACACACTGATTGTTTTTCAGAGAACACAGCAAACAAAGACCCAGTTTCACAAGCTATTATGTGCACATGTGAGTAATCCAAGGGAATACAGACAGACTACTCATGTGTATATGTGTCATCTGACTGGAGCTTATTTTTTGACACATCATTGTTTTATTTAAAAAATGTTCCTGATTGGAAGGGTTTGTATGGTTTGAAATTGTGGTGCTGTTCTTCACAATACTTTACT